ATATATATATATATATATATATGGAGAAAAAAAATGGAAGATGCAGCTCATGTACAAGAACTAAATATTTGCAACAAATGTTGCCCTCACATTGTTGAGAAGTTTTACTCTATATATATATTTAATCAATTATTGAAAAGATTTATTAGTGTGCTTCTATTTAATGAAAATAGTTAATATCTAGCCAATAATTTAAGTAATTTAATAGTAATCTCCTTCTACTGAAAATAAAAAGTTTTAAGTTTAAATCGCATAACATGCGAATGAAGTGAAATAAAAAATAAAAAAGAGTTACCTTCCGTTGTACAATCAATATAAAAATAAAAAGTGAATATCCACAATTTTAAAGTTGTAGGGGTTTGACTCCCTATTCTAAAATAATTGTTTAAATATAAATGGAACTTTGAACTTCCCATGCATAGGGAGAACAAAGTCATCCAAACCTATCATAGGAGATGTTTGCTTCAACTATCAAATATCAATTATTGCCAATAAGTTAATTTAAACAGCTTTTTAGTCCATATATTACTGTTAAAAGACAATGACTAGGAAAATCAACAACATGCAGAAAGGAAAAGAAACCAAAATTAATGGCCAAGCCTAGCTATATGCGAAAACATTCAGATGGAACGGTAGAGTGTGGCTTATAGCACTATGTCGTACACCATTTGATGAGCACAAAAGCATAATGCCATTCTGATAATACTAGTAGCAATAACAACATGCAATTGCCTTTATCTTTTTATTAGTTTATGGAATGGTGGTGTCTCGTCTCGCCTATAATGACTTGATTGATAATTTGCCATATTATCAACAATTTTTTTAATGCGTACCAATTAAAAAATAAAAAGAATGATTGCCAATTATGGAGGAGGCGTGTCATGAAAAAACGAGCCTCAATTAGCTATAATTTGTTTTCAGGTTAGGCTAATGTGTGTGTCCTTTACATACATATAAATAGTATATTCAATTCATTATATTTTTTTTATTATTAATATATACAATAAAAATAAAAATTGACATTAATTATATTAATTACTTAATAAAAAAATATTTATGTAACATAAATATTAAAATTAAAATTGTTTATTTTTTATATGAATTAATACATAAAAAATAAATTTAAAATTATTTAATATGTATTCTTAAATATATTCTTTATTTTCATATCAAACTATCATTAATATAGGATATCATGTTTATCAATTAAATTTATAAAAAAATTAAATAAGAGATATTCAAAATCAAGTGATTTCTATAAAATATTATGAAGAAAATTAAAATAATTTCATTCTAAGCGTCCATCAAACGTTACGTATTTAGTAGAAGGATAAATTTTAATATATTAAAGGATTTGTTTTTTGAACAATTATCATTGAATCAGATTGAATCGTTACTTGAAAAAAAGTGAGATAAACTTTTAGAGTGGTGGAAGTCATTTGATCCTATGAGTCAGGTTCAATATATTAAATGATTTATTCTTATTTAATAATCTAATTTATATAATTTAATACAATATACAAATTACATAACATTTTTTTGCATTGGTCCTACCGCAGGATATTATATTTTTTTATTTGGGTAAGAATATGATGTTGATACATAAAATACATCAAAATGATATATAAAAGAAAATTTTGCGTTGGTACAATTTTTTTTTTTAATGCACATTAGTAGAAAAATTTTCATCATTGTGACAAAAAAAAAAATCGTACTGAGAACGTGTGATGTATGCTTCTTCCAAATTTCCTAATCCCGTAGCACGTGCGAGAAAGTGCAGTGATTGGGCAGTGAAGAGAACGCGCTCTAACTGCATGTAGAGTTTGATACTCATCCTCATAACCCACCACGTGGGCCCATCAGGGTCCAGGACTCCTCAACCCAATGGACCCTATCCATTTCCAGTGGGCCGGAGTTTAATTTCGTTGTGGATCCCATTCATCATGTCCAGCCCAAACACTTCACTGGCCCATCATCATAAAAAATAGAAAAATCTTTTTTTTTTTTTTTGGAAGTACTGGAATGGCCCTCCCGGAATGAATTCATTCTCAGTTGAATCAAGGGCAGTAGGGGACTCTGGCTTTGGGGAAGGGATAGCAAAGGGGACGAAAATTGCCTTAGTGTTCTCCTGCTGATTTTTTCAGTTCATGTACAACTTGCAAGTGAAAGTTCATGATTGAAGTGATAAAGCTGGAATCTTGTGAATTTTGTGCAATGATATGGCTCTATGAGGTGTTTTTGGAACTGGGTTTTTGTTATTGTGATTTTCTTTACGATTTAATCTCATAAATCTTTTATGTGCTTTTAGGAACATCCTGCTTAAGTGATTCAATGGAAAGGCAGAACCTTTTTGATGAAATTCATGATTGTGTCATCAAGGCGGTTGGTTTTGTTTTTCCTTTGCTTCCTTTTTAGTTTATATATTGTACTTGTAAGCAAGCAGTTGGGTCATTTATTGATGTTAAACTGCAGAGAGTGAAACCTCAAAGGCGAAAAGACAAAGTTCACATTGGTTGTGGAGCTGGGTTTGGTGGGGACAGACCTTTGGCAGCTCTTAAGTTGCTTAACAAGGTTAAAGAGCTAAATTATCTCGTACTTGAATGTTTAGCCGAACGCACCCTTGCTGAACGTTGTCAGGTTATGATGTCTGGCGGTGATGGTTATGATTCTCGCAGTATGATTCTATTCCTTTAAATATAGTTTTACTTTACAATTTGGTTTGTTGATTGATAGAATATGTGAGAATGTGATATATTATTCTTCAGAACCTTTCTACTATGTGCATTCATGCCTATTATTGTTCTTTGTTCTCTAATATTCCCCATGGTCACGCAGTTTCGGAGTGGATGTCTAGGCTTCTTCCTTTGGCTGTGGAGAGGGGAACTTGCATAATTACAAACATGGGTGCAAGTAGGATGAAAAAAACTCAAATTTTGTATTCTCTGCCAAATTTCACATTGTGCCCTGTCTTGATGGCTTCTTTGACTATATAACCTTTTCATTCTTGTTGAATAAGATATTTTATTATCCTCTTATGGATAGTGGATCCAGTTGGTGCTCAAGAGAATGTTGTAGAAATAGCCAGCAGCCTTGGGCTTTCTGTGACTGTTGCTGTGGCCCAAGAGGTGTCACTCCAAGAGTTTGGTATGCTTGCTTGTCTTTGGTTTATAGATGTATCCATGGCCTTTCATTGTTATATATTGAAACAAGATTCAATAACGAAACCGTATCTGTACTTTTGCATTTTCTGGTTCAGGATCCTTACCTCAGAAAACCTTTGAGGGTGTAAGAACCCAGTACTCCTTTCCTTGCTTCTTCTTCTTCTTCTTCTTCTTCTTCTTCTTCTTCCCTTTTCTTTTTATTTTTTTATTTTTTCATTATTTTTGGTCAACATGTGGACACACGTTTCCCATGGCCTCCCTAGAACCAAGAACATATTAGCAGGATGCAAAATACTGAGCTCATATTTGTATAATCTCTGAAGGGCATTAGCACATATTTGGGAGCAGCTCCAATAGTTGAATGTCTAGAAAGATACCAACCAAATGTTATAATCACTTCAAGGGTTGCTGATGCTGCCTTATTCTTAGCACCAATGGTATGAGATCTTACTTTCATAT